CTCCGAAATTGTAGTTTTTACCCCATACGTTTTCAATTCTTCAATTTGTACCTAAAATACAATAAATCAACTTTTTAAGCACCAATTATCGTTAAAAAACACCAAAAGCTCCAATTAAAAGGTAATATAAAGTGTAAAAATATACACTTAACACACACCCAAACTTGAACTTTTGCTTGTCCTCAAGCAAAATCTACCAATAAGCAAATAACTCAACTACTACATCTCATTACATAGATCAATGATCAACTTCACGTTTTCAGAACTTATAATTATAATGACAATTCTTAGGCATTCGCAAGCTCAAAAGTCAACAACAGTCAGTCACTCACCATTACCAAAAACCACAATTCATACAATTGCTTCAAGCATCCAATATTTGCAAATTAAAGATAGAAATAATTTATACTTACATCCCTATGTTTGACTCCAAATATTCACCAAATTATTCTACTCTACTAATATTGAACATTAAGCTATTGGGATCATTGGGGCTTTGTGGCTTTCAATTGTTAGGTTCTTTGGTTCGAGGTAGGAAATATGGGTATATGTGGCTATTCTTCTTGAATTGAGGTGATTACGCCAAAATTTGAAAGTTAGGCGTTGGAAACCAATGAATTCACCTCTAAGGACTTTAATAACTCGATTCTTAAGATATATATATATATATATATATATATATATATATATATATATATATATATATATATATATATATATATATATATATATATATATATATATATATATATATATATATATATATATATATATATATATATATATATATATATATATATATATATATATATATATATATATATATATATATATATATATATATGTATATATATATATATATATATGTATGTATATATATATATATGTATGTATATATATATGGGTAAATAACACTTAACCCCTTGTGGTTTGCACGTTGTGCACTTCACCCCCCTCTGATAACAATTTGGTCATTTTACCCCCATGTGGTTGACAAGTTGTAGCAGCCGTTTAATACACCGTTAAAGTTAACAGAAAATGTTAAATGGCTGAACCAGCCCATTATTTTCCTACTATTTGCAGGTTATATTTCTTTTTATAAATGAATAAAAATTCAATTGGATTAAATTAGAAATAACACCAAATCATAGGACTAAAGTACAATTATTAGAATTGCTTCTTCTCCTCGCCTTCAAATCCCCCTAAACTGTTCCAGACCCCTTTAAAAAAATAAAATTTCAGGAAGACTCAAAAAATTACATCCAAAAAATAGAGGAAAAAGCCCAAAGATTTCATGTCAAACTGTTCGAGTTTTTTTGTCTTTTCGGGCGAACATCTCTGATTCCTAGGTTTTCGATTCTTCTTTGAAGTCCTCAATTTTGTGAAGAATATTGATAATTCTATGTTCCGTATGATTACATTGAGAGAATTTGGTTGGGGGTTTGATATTTTGTGGTTTCAGAAATATAAGTATTTTGTATTATTTTAGGCACATAGAATATATTAGATTTGAGGATCTTGAATCGGGGCATTGAGTTGGACGAAAGAGGGGGTATGTGAATGGGAAGCAGGAACCCTAAGCAGATTATGGCCTCCAAAATTTTCTAGAAAGAAACGTGCGTTTTTTTTTCATCGGCGGCGAGTCGATCAAAATCCTCATCTTCTTCATCCACATTTTCCATTTTCTTACATCCGTTTCTTTTTCTCTATTTTTACCTTTTTTTTTGTTTTTTATTTTTGATTAGGCTGTATAAATCAATCAGCCATTATTAAAACATTATTTTGTAACTGAATTTTTTAGGGATTTTCTTTCGAATTTTTAATTTATTATATATATATATATATATATATATATATATAACATTTTATTTTTTTTTAGCATCAGTTGTAAATTTGTTTTCATCCCATTGCATAGCAGATGATGATTATTAGCTGTAAAAGAATTCATAAACGTATTTAAACAATAATTAATTTAAATTTTAAAAAATTGTGTAGTATAGAATTTATAAAAATCCTATTTTGTTTTTTAATTAAAAGAAAAATGAGAGATTGGTGGAGGGGTTTTTATTGAAGGAAAATGGGCAATATGGGTATTATTAGGAATTTTAGCTTGTAAATCCTTCAGCCACTTTAATTTTGGGCGAGTGAAATGCACTCGCCATTAACTTTAACGGATTATTAGACGGCCGCTACAAACTGACAACCACAGAAGGGTTAAGTGCTTAGATTGATATCAAAGGAGGATAAAGTGCACAACGTGCAAACCACAGGGGGATTAAGTGCTATTTGTCTCTGTTTTTTTTCGAAGAAGAAGAAGGACCTTATAAAATTTTTCGACCTAACTCCAAGGGTTAATTTTTCAAGAATCTCCACTTTTCTACCTTATACACTTTGGCTAAAAGAAAGAACACCTTTTCTCCGAGGCTCAAATCAAAGTTCTAAGGATAATTTCGATAAAAATGTCGGCTTGAAAGGCTCAAACGGTTCAAAGAAGGTCCAAATCATATCTCAAATCACTCACTACCCAATACTTCGTATCATAAATTTCTTAAGGTGAGTTCTAAAACCGAACATAGCATGATCTAGCACAAATTCATTCCAAATTTAAAATACAAAACGTTCAACCAAAGCAATGCACAAAGTGTTATTCCTAGCAATAATTCGCTTCTAAGTTCTGTTGAATCGAAAGCTAAACAAACATCTAATCATTATCACACAAAACAAGCAATCTCATCATCAAACATTGATCATCTCTCATCATCATAAATCATCGATGCATTCGACTCAAGCAATTTTTATTTTTTTTATATTTCGGAAAAAACGATAAAAGCAATAAAAATAAATAAAACCTAATGCATGCAAACTAAAATAAATAAGCACAACATGTTTTTCATCACCCCCAATCTTAAAATTTTCGTTGCCCTCAACGAATTTAGCACAAAGTTTAAGGATAGAAAACACCTGATTTAGTTAGAGTCGATGTCATCGGGGTGTGAGAATTTGCGGGAAAGAAATCTGATTTTCCTCTTGCAAAGATGCCCTCTCTGTCTCTCGGATGACCGTCCCGATCGCAATTCCGACCTTAAAAATAAGAAATCAAATAAATTAATTAGAATGCATGCCTATAAAAATAAAAATAAAACATAAAATTAAAGAAAAATATGAAAAACAGTAAAGCCCGGGTTGCCTCCCGAGAAGCGCTAAGTTTAAAGTCTTTAGCCGGAAGTTGCTTCGTTATTTTCAAGCAAAAGTGACCGAAGTCACTTGGCAATCTTCACTCGCTTCCCAATACGGTTTGAGCCGGCTCCGCTTCACGTTGAACGTACGATTTGAATTTCGCTCCTTTATCTTGACTATCTCGTGAGGAAGAATTTCTTGGACAATAAACGACTGCGACCACTTTGATTTGCGCTTCCTTGGAAATAACCAAAGACGGGATTTGCACAATAACACCAATTGTCCTTTGTGCAATTCCTTTTTGATTTTATCCTTACGACCCCAATATCTTGACTCATCCTTCTCTCGTGGCTTGCTCTATTCTTTGGGTGGCAACATCCTCCTTGCACTCTCATCATCATTAATGATATGTCTAATTGGGCCGGCCCAATGGGCCCCCAATTTATCTAATAACTGGGCCCACTACACGAAAGCCCAAGCACCTTCACAATAAGGCTTGGGCCTAACAAAGTAGGCCCAACTTAATCAACGACATATAAATAGAGATTTTTACTCATTTATTAAGCTACGTTCTATAATTCACACGTAATCTAGAGTTTTATTCTCTCTACTATCTCCACGATCCGTACATCTGACTTGAGCGTCGGAGGGGTTTCCGCTGGATCAACCCCCGGCTTAGTTCACGTGCATTCATTTCGCAGGGACCTCAGGATCATCAATTTGCCAAACTACTGATCCGCTTTGCTCTCCTAGCTCATTTTCTACACTACCCCAGATGATCTAAGTAATTAGCATCATCATTTTGGTGCCGTCTGTGGGAACATGCAAACCAGATCACGTAGCCAGCAAGATCCTCCTGAGGCATCCGCTCGGAGTGAAAATGACACAGCTAGCAACCTCCCAATCCGCGGAGGCTCTGGCTTGCCACCTACTGCGCGTGCTCCAGATCCGCCTCGCGAGGTTAAGGTGATCCGCCCCCGGGATCCACCACTCGCCGATCCGCCACTCCCTGCTCCCCGAACGGTTCAGATAACCGAAGATGCGCTCCAACGCATGTTAGCAGAAGCCTCAACTCGCGTCGCCACAGAGGCCGTGACCCAATATATCGCCACGATGGGACCAAATGCTCCCAACGCGATACCAGTACCAGCTCCACCTGTGGTGCCACCTATGGCACCACCGCTAGTCCAGAACCAAATAAGTGTCTCATCATCCACCTCGGACCCACGGTCCCGAGTGCAACTATCCACCAATCACAGGGGGACAAAACCCAGACAGCAACGTCAGCGCTCACCCCACGGGGGAGTGCGCCTCCACAGAGAGTCCCTCTCTTTAATGAGGGAGAAGGCGAGGTAAACAACAGAATGTCTCGCCAAATTTCCTTCCCCCAATTGAACAATCCTATTGGCGGAAGAATGCCCGCCCGAGTAAGATGCAGTCCTTTCACCATAGACATCCTCAACGGGGTATTACCTCAAGCAGTGAAGATCTCGGGGTTACCTCAGTTTGAAGGGACCACCGACCCACAAGAACACATAGAGAAATTTCACGCCATGGCCGATTTGTATGGCCCAACAGATGCCGCAATGTGCAAAATGTTCCGCACCACTCTCTCCAAGCGGGCCATGAATTGGTTCAACTCTCTACCTACATGATCGATCGACACCTTCGCTCGATTGTCAACATGCTTCACCAATCAATTCTCCATCCACAAATAGTATGCCAAGACCCCGACCCACCTTTTCTCTATAGTACAGAGAGACAGCGAAACGCTCTGCAACTACATCAAGCGTTTTCACGAAGTCCCAAGCGTAGGACAAGACATGCTCTCCGGGATCATGCAACAAAACTTGAAGCCGGGTAGGTTCAAAGAACCTATTGCCGGAAGGCCTCTAGGCAACCTAGAGGAATTGTTGAACCGAGCCGAGAAATACGTACAAATAGAGGAAGCCTCTACCCATGCTACTCCCAAGAGGAAGAGGGAAGATGACCGACAGGACGTTAGAAGACGAGATGATCGACGTCCACCACTCTCGCCTCAAGGCCAATCATCTTCCTCCTACAATCGGTTCACTCCGCTAAACACTCGCCTCACTGAAATCCTTCATGTAATAGAACAAAGAGGTCAAGCAGAACCTCCACGCCCAATGCAGCCAAATGCGAAACGAGAAAAATCGGATCGCTACTGTCGATTCCATAAGGATAGAGAATATACTACCGATGAATGTGCACAACTCAAAGTAGAAATTGAGAAGTTGATCAAGCAGGGCCACTTAGGCGAATACATCGACAAGCCTCGAAACAAGCGCCGTGATGACCTCCCACGCCGAGATAACAATCGAGATCAACCGCAACGACGAGAGGAGGGGGGTCATCGGCGCGAACAAGATAATAATGATAATCAACCCACCTGGGGAATCATTGCCTTTATCTCCGGAGGACCGGCGGGTGGCAATTCACAAAATGCGAGACGCTCCCTCGCTCGGTCAGCACGTATGAATCAAGAGCACGTCTCTCCATCCACATCTATCTATCAGATACGAAGACCTAATCATAGCATAGTCTTCGACTCCGTGGACCTCGAGGGCCCGGACGAAGACCATGTCGACGCATTGGTAGTCACAACATCGGTAACCAACTTTTTGGTTAAGAAGATCTTAGTGGACGGGGGAAGCTCAGCAGATATCATGTATCTCCATACATTCAAACATCTAGGCATAGATAACGCCCGATTTAGCCCCATCACTACACCGCTAAAAGGATTCACCGGGGAGGGCGTTTTATCCATGGAAGAAGTGGAGTTGCCCATCTCCTTAGGGGACAGCCCTTGTCGAATTACCAAGATCATAAAATTCCTCATCGTCCACAAGCCGTCCCCCTACAATAATTTGTGTATTAATAGGATCCCATGATATATATAACTAGAGAACATAGAAATAGATCACACTCAATAGGTGCCCATAGTATATTTCTATGATTAATTATATTGGACATCGTCATAGATTTTAGATAACATAATTGATTATGAGGAAGGAGATTTATCGAATTTCGCTCCCACTCCGAGCATAATTAATTACAGACATTATCTAGAAAAATCTCCTAACGGATAATTTGGAATTGATTATAGTGATACATTATTTTCTCCATGTGGTGGAAAGTAGATATCATAGAATAATCAATTTAAAATTAATTGATAGTCTATTGACATATAATTAGAGAATGTAGAAATTAAGCATGGCAATTACTTTAATAGATTCCCTCATGAAAAATATTTTTAAAAATATTAAGTGTATCGGGGAGTTTATTACGTATAAATCCTAAGGTCTCCATCATAGGCTTTAAGATAAATTAATTAATTGTGAGGAAGGAGATTTATCGAATTTCGCTCCCACTCCGGGCACTTTTAATTATAGACTTATCTAGAAAAGTCTCCTAACGGATAATTATTAAAGAAATTGTAGTGATATGTTTGTCTCACTCCGAGTCGACGGATATCATAGAACAATTGATTTAAAGATGACTTGATGGTTAAACACTTAACAATAAAATATAATTATAACTATACTTCACTCCGAAGTCCCTGTTATATTTTATTGGACCAAAGTAACCGACTATTTAATTTTATTTTCCAAGACCGCCGAATTGGAATGATAATAAAATTAAAGATGTTTTACATGTCTGTCTATTGAAAACTTGTAGTCTGTCTACACTCCGTAGCCTACCGGTTCCTCATAGTGATGGATTGTCGGTTGATTTCAAAATTTGGTTTGAGGGAGCCATATTAAGTGACAATCTAGAGTTCTCAAGGATGCCCTTAGTTTAAGTTTATTTGTTTGATTCTCTAGCAATTAATGATATATTCCTTAGATCCACTTTGTAGACTCACTTTGCTTGGATTAATCGACCTATAATAATATATTAAGTGTTGCCTTTCGATTGAGGAATTTAAATATGTATTTTAATTGAGGAAATTCGCGAGTTAATAAATGAAGTGAATTTTTGGAAGAAAATTTAGTTCATTTATTTTGTTAGGACGATTAATTGGTTCGGTGTTATTTATTGAATTTTGGTTCAATATATAGAAACACTACGATGAGCCCATGGCAAGTACAAAATAATATAATAGTGAATTTCTTAGTAACGTGAGAAATTTAGAACTATACTTTTATTTGTAGCCATATTAAAAGCCTCTTGAATACATGCATTATTTATTTGGATTATTGGTTAGTCTTCATGTTCGAAAGACGTCTTTTGACAGTTCATGAATTCTTGGAAACCAAGATCAGTGGGAAACCGAGATCAGTTTAATCCTAAAGAAATATATTGAATTTTAATATTTTCAATTGAATAAGAAAAGGATCTTTTCTATTGAAAATATCATGGGAATTCAAATAAGGTTTACGATCCTCTGAAAATCGAAGAAGGCACTTTTAGAAGTCATATTCAGTCAATCCTTCAATCGTCAGCTAGTAATTAGGCTTCTTGTCACTCACGTGACATCTATAATAGTGGTGACATTTAATTATGTTCAAATCGAAAGTAGGATTTTATATTTAAAGATTATCATTTTGTGTCTTCCAAATAGAAGGAATTTATTTTTTCTTCTATAGAATGGTTCAAAATAAATAGTTTGTCTATTTAATAATGACTTGGTCATTGTGGAAAATAAACATTTTTTTATTTAGACACATTGATTGATAACAAATATAATGAAATCTTTTATTTCCTATACTACTATTATATTCAATGGATAAATCTATTAATTAACCTCAATAGAATATATAAATATATATTCGTTTCGCATCTATGGCATGATTATTTGATATTTACAAGAGGTTGGATTTCACTTTAAGTAAAATTTGGAGACTGATTTATAATGGGCCTTTACGGTTCATGAAAAGTGAAGGCACTGCCAGTCTAAGAATTTTATTTGGAAAGTAAAAGGACCATGTGTCCGGTTGATGGGCCTAGTGTAAATAAGATCAAATAATTTTAGGATTTATTTTATGCTATAGTATGTGGACCTACAAATACCATAGTTAAAGTAGTTTTAACTAATTCATCTCATTGATGATATCTCGAGACATAGATATATTTATATTATGCGACATACATCTAAGGTCTTAAAGAAATTGAAGACCGTGACAGATAAGCATTTGAATAAATATATCAAGTCATTTGATATGGCGAAACTTTATGGGTATAAGTTATTGAATTGTTTGGTTAAACTAGGGATTTGTCCTAGATATGTTTATACCAAATTGAACCACAATAGAATATAATATAGCGACGAAAATAATTAATACTTATTGAAGACAGTTTAATATATAATGATTTATTGAGTATATTTTGTTTTTCTAATATATACTTTTGAGACGGTTATTTATTTACGAACTTAAGATCTTCTAAGTTAGTATCCAATGACTCTTGCCGAATTAAAGATTGTTTAAACGTACAATCGGTGTCGTATTCGGAACTGGAGTCAGTTAGCATTTATGCTTCAGGAGAACACGGTTGCTAGAAGATAAGTTAGAAATAAATGTCTCTTGTATGGAATAGTAAGAGAAAAACAATAGTGGTCTATTTTGATTCCTAGAGTAAAGAAAACATTGATTTGTATCAATGCTGGATTCTTAAAGGAATATCATGTTTTGGACTACATAGCCTAATGACGAAGTTTTAAGGAAGTTTGACCATCTTAATCTTCTACTGTACCCTAAATACGTTAAGAGTTTCGCTTGTATTCTAGTATAGAAATTCCAATGCCACTTTACAGTGGGAGGAATTTAAGTTACTAGTGTTACACTTAGGGTGATTTATCCTAGTGGGAGGATTCATAATGAAATCCTAAGATTGTATGTTTATAGAATGTTAGTGATAACAAGATTCTTGATAAACATATAGTTCCTTCCTAGAACTATGAATGAACGCCAATTTCTATAGATGCAAGAAATTGGCTTAGTGCTATAAGAATCCAAAGTGGAAATGATTAGACAGAGAAAAGTGGAAACCTTTTAAAAAGGTTAGACTTAAAGTAAAAAGGTTCTGTCGGAAAGAAATGGATCGACTACGAGGAAACTTTCTAGCTAGTAGCCTCACTTTAGTCTATTTCGAATTCCTAAAATCTGTAAGTGCCATGTTTTAATTTGGTAGATGGATGTCAAGATTTCGTGTCTATTGACGAGTGCATTTCACGATGCAAATTAAATGGATTTTAGCTTAGTACCATATGCATTGCAATGCAAACTTAATAAATTCATTTATGAATTTAAGCAAAGTGCGCAGATCATGTGATATTTCGATTGATCATAGATGTAACACCCTGTAATTTATGCTTATGTTATATGTACATATACACAAGAGTTTATTGTGCTAAATAATAAGATTAGAGGGCTGTTGTGTTATTATGGGATAAAGTTGGGGTATAGATATAATAATAATTTTGTAAACTTGGAAATCAAGTTTATGACTCGGTAATTGGATAATTGAGAAGAATTGTGATTAATGAGAAATTAGAGAGAGAGACACACGTAGAACATTGATGAGTCATTTCTCCTTCCTACCCCGATAAATACCTCATCATCTCTCGGCTTCTCTATTTCTTCATCGCTCTCTCTCTCCGCTCTCTTTCTCTCTCGCCTACTCTCTCATTTTCTCTCTCGGTTCTTGGCTGAAATTCCAGAAATTAATTGGAGAAAATTCGAATTCAATAAGGGGTTTGAAGAAGTGAGGTGTATGAAACAAATTTGAGGTTGGAATTGCAAATCCCCAATTCCAATTATCAGCAAAATTAGGGCTGTGAAAACGAGGGGTTATAATGATAAAGTCACATCGTTGAAAATCCTGGGAAGTCGTCTTTCCTGTGGTGACGGCCTCCAGCTGTGGTCGCCGGAGATGTTTGCCGGAATCGGACAATAAGACAGAAGGTTGCTGAAATTATGTTTTATATTTTGGGTTCGTCAAACAATCAATTGATGGGAGGTTTTAAAGGTGGAGTTTCGACGATCAGGAGGTGCCGTTGGAATCCTTGATAAGTTATCTTTCCATTGGTGGCGGTCTCCAGCATAGCTGACCGACGGTGGTTGCCGGAATTGGGCGAGAAGCTCAGCCTGCTCGCTGGACCGATAATAAAATCTGCTGCCACACCTGTTTTCGGAGCCAAAATAGAAGGGCCTGGAGTAAGCATTTGGAATTAGTCTCTTCGCAAAACTCGTAGAGGACCTCGAAAACTATAAGTAAGTATAAAATTGTATCGAATTAGAGTATGTTTTATAGCTGATTAGAGGTCCGAATCAGATGACAGTAAATCTATAAAAACAGGGCAGTTTTGATGATTCGTTTTACGGGGCTGTTTATGTTATGTTGAGCTAATAATTTAGGCTATGTGTCTTCTAAGAACTTGTAGATTACATTTTGAGGTTCAATTGGGTGTATTATTTGGACAATTTGGATAACTTTACAAATAGTTATGGATTTTACAATAAACTGTACCAGAAAAGAGAATTTATCCGAAATTCTGGCAGTTTTCTGCAATCATCTTTTGGGGCTGTTTTGAATATGTTGGGATTATAATTTGTGATCCGAGTCTCAGTGAACATGTAGATGCAGCTGTTATCTTTCATTTGGCATATTGATTTCCTGATTCCGATAATCGTACCAATTGTTATGATTTTTCGAATAAACAGTGCCAGCGAATGCATTTGTTTAAAAACCTGGCAGTTTCATGCGAGCATTTTTCCGGGGCTGTTACTGCTGTGTTAGGTCGATAATTTGGGGTTGGTTTCTAAAGTGAACTTGTAGATGAAGTTGTTATATTTAATTTGATATATAGTTTAGGCTATTCGGATAAGTACGGCGATCGTAGTGATTGTTAGAATTCACCGTGGCGACAAGAAATTCTTAATAAATGTTTCAAGAAATTGACTATGTAAATCTTATTAAGTGATAAATATTTGTATAGGTGTTGAGCATAGTAAAGCTCTCACTCACTCAAGGCTTGAGCATGACTCGAGAGTAAGGTGTTTTTATAGCACTTGCATTGGACTTCAGGTGAGGATCCCTATCCCTTGCCTATTATTTCTGAAAAAACAGGATATATGCCGAGCACTCGTATCGTTCGGTTTATTATTGTTATTATTCGTCGACTAAATTCAATATATATTTATTGTCACCTATCTTGTAAACCAATTTGATTTCCGAGAATTGTTGATTCTTGAGCTATTGCAATCTTTGATCGTTTCGAAATCCTTTTCCTGGAACTTAATAAGTTCTCATCTTGATTCGGGAATTATTCCAATAAATTCTCATCTCGATTCCTTGACTACTCAATTGAGTTCGTTTATCGACCTTGAATAATTCCACGAGTTTCAATCTAATTCTCTATCAATTTTGAGTCGTTTCACATCTTGACTTGTATACTAGTTGGAACCACTTCTATCATGATTCATAAAATCATTTGATTTGTTTCTACAATGGTTCAACGAACGTAAATCGTTCTTTCCCGACTCTTGGACCATTTAGGATTATTGTGTTTATCCGTTAAATCATTCGTTTCGTACCTACCGTGAATTGATGGATCGTTCATATCTTGACTTCTCATTGATCCTTTGAAACCACTTGTCTTTCGAGCTATAAAACTACGGGTTCAATTTTAACCGTAGACTATTGTTGATTGAGATTCATCTTCATCAATTGTTATACGATCTTGAATTGTGGTCACTCTCTTATTGAAACCATTGATCGTACCCTTCTTGACTTGTGATTTTGTGATCACAAGATATTATCACTTGTTATTGGAATCCCACAATCGTTGAACTGTGATATTGGTTATTTCCAAAGTGGAATTCATTATTGGGATTCAAAATGTAAATTGAGATAGTCGGAAGCATATCCGTATCTCTATATTATTGATTCATTTGGGGATGCCCTAAGGATAATTGACAAGTTGGGCCCGGGGCTGTTCGAAAAAGACTGCTGGGCGGTATTGGGCCGACGGTGGATGGTCTCTTCGACAGTACCCATATTGGATCTAGACCATTAGCATAGTTGGAGGTTAACTGTGCTGATGGATGGATCGGCATGCGCCCGGGCATGCCTATTGATCGATTAGCAGGGTAGCTCCCTGATCGGTGTTATAAGGTAGTTACAGCTGAGGGAGTCACAAGGCATGTACCGGTACATGAACAAATTGTTACCATGGGAATCTCCATGGTTTCATATTTGATATCCAAAATTGTTATCGTGGGAATCTCCACGAAATTCATAATTGATATCCGGGAATTTCCCGTTGAAATTGTTCTCTACCTATACATATTAATTGTATTGCTTATTCTTATCAGATTGTTGTGCTCTCATACCTTGGCGTTGTATCATGTTCGACTTGTCCATTGTTTTCTTATTACCCTTATTATTTGATTCGACTGTTTTTCCCTTGTACTACTCACTAAGTCCACTTGGACTTACTCCTCCTTTATTTTCCTTCTTATTCTCAGGTGCATAAGTGGACGATTGTGTTGACTACACTTAGGAGTAAAGTTACTTGGAAGTTTCATAGAGTTTAATCGGGTGATGTTGTATTTAAGAATGGTTGTAATTCAAGAACAATGTATACGAGATTAGTTGTGAGCTTTAATTGCCACTTGTATTTGATTTTAATATTGAGTAGTTAAGTTGTAGTTGTTGTATTGATTAGTAGTCATAGTATTCTTTTATATAAAAAAAAATATATATATATATATACAGTGTTTCGATAGTGGGCGTCACAATAGAATCAATGTTTTGATTTTGATTAGGAATCTAGATATATCACATTTTGTAACGGAAGCGTGGTGAAAGTCTTAAAAGACGTATTAGATAATAATTTCCTTTTTCAAAACAATTTGGAAATTATTTAGGTAAGGGTATTGTTTCTTGAGTCAAATCAATATGGATAACTTGAGTGAAACTAGTTATGTCGTATGGATCATTTCTAGGATCTATGAAATAGTACATTGAGTTGTCATGGACAAGTTATATTGATTTAAATACTTGCCAAATTTAGCATGCACAAATTCCAAAGAAATGATTGTTTCTTTCGGTCACGGAGTCACTCTATCGAGAAATTAGTGTCTTTGAACACGTAGTTTGATAGAGATGTTGAAGGCATTTCTTGTTGTAAAAGAAGCCTTGCATATGCTATAGTAAATAATTAAACTCAAGGTTTTCTTTGCATCTTGCATAGTTAGCAAATGTGAATTTATTTTGAGGCTAGTATGTTAGACTGCAGTAAAGTATATTCTTAAGTATTCAAGGATACAATATTATATACTAGTTTACTAGGCGGATAGTCTTGGTACGACTCAAAAATTAAAGGTCGAGTAATTGTAATTTTTCTATAGCATGTTATCACTATGGGAGATTTATTTTCCTAAGGAAGTGAAAACGTATAGTGGGAGGTTTATGCAATCGTGCGATTGCATATTCTGCTAGATATACAGTGTATGCTTTACATCGGATGATAGCCCCATGGATAGGTTATATGGATGGGTTAGAGATGTTGAGTTGCGAATCTTTGAGTCTAAGTGGGAGATTGTTAGGATAGTAGACTAAAAGTCTCGCTTTTAAACTACATAATTTTATTATTGAATTAATAAATAGTATATTATCATTTTATGAGAATCTGCACTAGGGTATTCAATGCATTTAATTGATTGTTTGTCAATTAATTAAAAGCATAAGTCTAATATTCTAATAGTATTCGAAATGGTGTGCTACGGCGCACATAAAGATCATTCTGAAAGTTCGTTTAGAATATAAAGATAAACGTTCACAATCTAGATGGAAATGGACTAACCATTGGTAAAAGATTGTACCACAATATTTAAGTGATTGGTCTTGGTCACAGTAAATAGAGAATAACTTTTGTAGTTATTGTTTTGACTTATTGTGCTAGCACACCCGGCATGTGTTGAACCGGACAAAGTGAAATAATTGTTTCATCGCTGTTCATAAATGAAACTGTATTATTTCTAGTTGACAGTAAATTACTTACTCTCTTAATCCCTAGATAATTGACGTACATATTTAATTGATGATCTCTGCTTTGATGTCACAATGGGAGAGATTCCTATATTGAGTCAAATGGCCCCCGGTGCGTTGGGTATAGACATTAAGAATTAATAGGTGGAAATTAATTATCGAAAGGAATCCACATCTCTGAAATATGGGATTGATAATAACCCTTCAGTAGCTTATAAGATTTGTTTATGCCAAGTCCTGGCCAGGTGGATTTCGTATCGGGCATACTCAAATAAGTTAAGCGGGTAAGACTCATGAAAAGAAACCATTTAGTTTATTTAGCAGTGAATAAATTATTTGGTGGTTATAAGATTTCTTAATGTGGGGAGAATCTAAGTAATGATCGACCGGAACTCGAATGTAATATTTGAGAATATAAACAGGAGTTCAATAATTATTTGGTAGTGGAAAATAAATAATTATTTAATGCTAAATTAAATGAATCCTTTTAAGAGTATGGATTTAATTAATTATTATTTGCCCGATTTATATTTTCTCCTATAGTCCCTATTGTAGCCCAATGGATTTTCTAATTAATCGAGAAAATAAAAGTTCAACCAATATTATATATTGGAATTAATATAGCCGAAAATTAAGTCCCTATTGAACTACAATTTTCGACTATATAGAGTTATAGAAGGAGTGGGATTTGTTCCCATGTAATCCTCTCTATGTGTGACTCTAATTCATTGTGCTATATATAATAGTGATATGCCTATTGGCCCAGCCCAATAGACTCATGTTTACTGGGCCACAGGCCCAACTTAATAGCTATTTACTCGAAGGCCCAATCACACCCAAAGAAAGTGGGGTCCGATAAATTGATCTCGGCCCAATCAATAAAGTATAAATACAACTTAAATTCATTTAGTAAAGGTACGTTATTATTATTCAATCAATTCTTCTTGAGGAATTCTCTCTACAATTACCAAATATCTTCACGTCTGACTTGAGCGTCGGAGGGGTTTCCGCCGGATCAACCCCCGGCTTAGATTACGTGTTTTCTGTTCGCAGGATCCTAGAGCAAATTAAAGTTCTCAGGACTATCTAGCTCGTGAGCACGTGACCTACTTTGCTCTCCCAGCTTCAACACATTAGGTGATTTATTTTTTACGTCATCATTTTGGCGCCGTCTGTGGGAATGCAGACCAGATCACGTAGCCAGCAAGATCCTCCTGAGTCCACTCGGAGAGAGAATGACACAGCTAACAACCTCCCAGTTCGAGGAGGCTCTGGCTTGCCACCTCCTCCACGTGCTCCGGATCCACCACGTGAGGTTCAGGTGATTCCCCCTCGGGATCCACCACTCGCCGATCCTCCACTACAGGCTCCACCTCTACCTACTTCTCGAACGGTTCAAATAACCGAGGAGGCACTCCAACGAATGATAACAGAAGTTTCTACTCGCGCCGCCACTGATGCGGTGGCGCAATATATCGCCACGATGGCAGCAAATGCTCCCCCCGCGATCCCAGCTAACGCTCCCCTCGTGATCCCAGCTAATGCTCCACCCGCAATGCCACCCAGGGTACAGCAACCGGCCCAGAACAATGACGATCGGATAAGTGTATCCTCATCCACCTCAGATCCAAGATCCCGGATGCAGCTATCTACCAATCACAGGGAGCCACAACCCAGACAACAACGCCACCATTCGCTCCAACGGGGTGATGCGTCTCTACGAAGAGCTCATATCTTTAATGAAGGGGAAGACGAGATAAATAGTAGAGTATCTCGCCAAAACCAGTTCCCCAGATTGAACAACCCAATTGACGGAAGAGCGCCAATCCCAACAAGGCGCAGTCCTTTCACCCTGAACATCCTCAACGAGGTATTGCCTCAAGGAGTGAAAGTATCAGGCTTACCTCAGTTCGAAGGAACTACCGACCCGCAGGAACACATAGAGAAGTTCCACGCTATGGCAGATTTATATGGCCCAACAGATGCAGCAATGTGCAAGATGTTCCGCACCACTCTCTCCAAGAGAGCCATGAATTGGTTCAATGCTCTGCCCACATGATCAATTGACACTTTCGCTCAGTTATCATTGCGCTTCACCAACCAATTTGCCATCAATAAGCAATATGCTAAAACTCCAGCACATCTCTTCTCTATCGTACAGAGAGACAATGAAACACTCCGCAACTACATCAGGCGTTTCGTGGAGGCTGTTCATGAAGTTCCCAGTGTAGGACAAGATATGCTCTCAGGGATTATGCAGCAAAACCTGAAGTCGGGTAGGTTCAAAGAATCTATCGCAGGAAGACCTCCTGGCAACTTAGATGAGTTGTTAAATCGAGCTGAAAAATACATACGCATAGAGGAAGCTTCTGCCAATGCTCCTCCCAAGAGGAAGAGAGAAGATGACCGCCCGGATATTAGGAGACGAGATGATCGACGTCCTCCACCCCCACCTCAAGGCCAATCATCTTCAACTTATAATCGATTCACTCCACTCAATACTCGCCTCACCGAAATACTTCATGTGATTGAACAAAAAGGTCTGGCAGAGCCTCCACGCCCAATGCAACCCAATGCGAAACGAGAAAAATCGGATCGCTATTGTCGATTCCACAAAGATAAAGGGCATACTACTGAGGAATGTGCGCAACTCAAATTGGCGATTGAGAGGTTGATCAAGCAAGGCCACTTAAGCGAATATATTTATAAGCCTCGAAATAAGCGTCGTGATGATCTTCCACGCCGAGATAACAATCGAGATCAACAACAACGACGAGAAGATGGGGGTCATCGGCGCGACCCAGATAACAATGATAACCAACCCACCCGAGGAATCATCTCTTTTATCTCCGGAGGACCGGCAGGTGGCGACTCACAAAATGCGAGACGCACCCTCGCTCGATCAGCACGCATGAATCAAGAACATGCTTCTCCATCCGCATCCGTCTATCAAATACGAAGACCTGATCATGGCATAGTCTTCAACTCCTCAGACCTTGAAGGACCAGATGAAGATCATGTCGATGCGTTGGTGATAACTGCAACGGTGGCCAACTTCATAGTTAAAAAGATATTAGTGGACGGTGGGAGCTCAGCCGACATTATGTATCTCCACACATTCAAACAGCTAGGCATAGACAACGCACGGTTCAATCCCATCACTACACCACTGAAAGGATTCACGGGAGAAGGTGTTTTATCCATGGGGGAAGTAGAGTTACCCATCTCCTTAGGGGAAGATCCTTGTCGAGTAACGAAAATGATAAAATTCCTTATCGTCGACAAGCCATCCCCTTATAACATCATCGTGGGAAGGCCCGCGATCCATACATTCAAGTCTGTGCCTTCATCTTACCACCAAAAGTGGAAATTCCCCACTCCTTACGGGACGGGAGAGGTACTTGGAGATAGGCGTCTCGCTCGAGAATGTTATGCAAGAGCTCTACGTGAACCATCTAAGAGACCTAATCCTTTAGGGAAAGGAGACGACACCCCGAGACAAGATAAGCGAAAATGGGTCAACGCGGTCATCGAAGCTGATAAAGAAATCCTAATCAGCGTACCCGACGACACCGCCAAGCTAGCCGCAGTTGAAGAACTAAAATCAGTAGAACTCATACCCGGAGATAATTCTAAGCTTCTCCGCATCGGCTCTGATCTAGATCAA